TGATGTATTGTCTCAGACATTTTTTAAGTGCCCAGACATCATCAAATAGCACCTTGATATGGTCAATGTTTCTGGGGGACAACCCCTTGCTCCCCTACTGGCACCCCACCCCACTTCACCCTCTCATCCTCTTTGACACCCCCAAAAGAATTTGAAAAAAAATTCACATTTTTCTTATTGACTCATAACGCACAGGCGTACCAGATGGTTGCAAATTCGCTCCAAATACAACCAAATTTCAAAATTTTCCTGGGGAAGGACCCCAGACCCCCCTGAATGCTCGGTTTTTATTCACACAACTCTTATTCCTGTTGTGGTGGCATACTACTTGGAAACTTACACTTTGAAAGTGCCCAGAAAGCACCAAATAGCATCTCAAAACTAAAATTTTCTAGGGGGAGTGGACCACTCCTCACGACCCCCACAAAACAATTGGAACGTTTGGAAGTTGCATTTGTTAATTCCAAACCAACAGAGAGTAACAGAGCCCCCCCCCCCCCATCTGACTTATGCGATTTGATTTACGCGTTAAAAAAATTGACAATTTTACTCAGTAAGCTAAAAACCGCACCCCCCTTGAAGAAAAGTGTCCTACGGGCCTGATGTATGTTTTATTAGGAATTCAAGAAAACAAACACTTGAAGATATTCATAAGGTGTATGGGAAGGAGGCTATGGCCAAAAGAACCATACAAAACGTACTTAAACATATACTGATGCTGGTAGAACAAATGGTAAGGACAATGCTAAATCAGGTCGTCCAAGAACGACATTGATAAAAGCCATCCATACAAAAATCAAACACAAGAAAATTTCCAAATGGGTTCCGCCATCTGTTTGAGGAATGGTAAGTAACCCTACTATCACACCAAACTAGTTTTCACTACGTTCACGAAAACGAGCTTCAACTGTGTACGAACGGACTGGACGTACTTAGAACCGTTTGGGGTCTATTTACATACTTCATCGAACGTACTCGAACGGGTAGGTCGTCTAGAACTTAGAACATGCTCAGAATGTTCTCGTGGTCGATACGTTCTACAATTAGAACAAGTGACAACGTACTAACGACGAGCTGGACGTACTAGGAACGGAACCGTCGTACTTCAATCCTACCAGGGACGTTTTAACAACGAGTTGAACTTTCTGAGGACGTATTGAGAACGAGGTAGAACTAATTGCAAACGGGTTTAAACTGATTAAGAACGTATTTAACACTGCTTATGAACGAGTTAGCAAAAATATAGCTATCACACCAAACAAGTTGCCACTGCGTTCTTCAAAACTGGTTTTAAACTGAGTGCGAACGAATGAACGTAGCTGCAACTTTCTAAGGTCTATTTACGAACTTCATGAACGTTCTCAGACGGGAAGGTGATTTTGGAATTTTGAATCGATTCAAAATTCGATGGCGACCATACCGTTCTGTAATCAGGTCATGTTGACCTTCTTGACTAAGGGATGCGTTCTACGACGTTGCACACCGACGTGGTGCGACCTGAACGAACTGCGAACGAGATGGACGTATTTAATTATTTTAGACATATTTCCCGACCACAGCCAGACTGAGCCCGTTTTACGACGTTTTCATAGGACTGGAAAGAACGGGTAAGAACTAGTTTGGTGTGATAGGGGGGTAAGACAACTGGGTGTATAGACCATGATGGACACTATTTTGAACACCTATACTCTTGGGATACTGTTATTAAAGTAAATAGGACAAGTTAAAACATTTTGAACATTCAAACAAAACAGATCCTGTTTTGCCTGCTCCGCCTACCCAGTCAATCTCCGAATTGGCCCAATGGCAAACTGATAGTTATTTAATGAGTTCATTTGAACCTCATTTAAAAGGCAATTAACACAACATCGATAAAGAATGATTCAATATCATATTTGTTCACAAATTACAGGTAGATTTAGAGTTCCTTGGTGCTGCCAAGATCTATACTTTACCTCATTTTCCCATCCCTAAGAATGGTTGGACGCTAAAGAAAACAGGTGGAGTGAAGAATACCAAGTACTACCCATGTTGTAAGGAGCCTTACCCCGACATCACCTTTAACCTGACTGTCACTCGCAGAAGCACTTATCTGGTGGTTGTCTATATATATCCAGTGGTCATCGTGGCATTCGTCTCTCCATCTATGTTTCTCATCCCATATCATATACCAGGAAAAGTTCTCTTTGGTATGTTTGGTATCATCTTAGCTTTAACAAGATGTTGGTCAACTATTAGTCTTGAGGAACTGTGATTACTAATGCCTTTTCTGTTTATTATATATTCATCTTCAATGATTTCTTTGCAACAAATGATAATCATTTCCCAAACGCTGAAACAAAAGGTATGAAAAGGACTGAAAAGGAAAAACTATAACTGAATAAGTTTAATTAAAAAGAAACATCCAATTTAAAAATATGTGTACTTTTGAAACATCGTTCTCGAATTTTTGTATTAAGTTTTGTCAACAAGTGTTTCATTGACAATAATATTTTGTGTTCTCAGTGGCCAGTTTTCTGGACATTGTTAATTCATTTATCTACAAATTTGATTTTGAAGCCCTGTGATCGGAGGATGCTCATATAAGTGACATTCAATTTTGAAAATGTTATCTACAGTTCTGAATCTATGAACATTTCGCCCGTGTAATACAAAGTATTGCTATAGCAAGAATGCATTGAATCATTATGTAAGCAAGGTGCTGATTGGTTCATAATTTACGGCGCTAAACATAAACTTGACGGGCGTGAAGGTGTTTCTCAACGCGTGTAAAATAACCGTCTTTCGCCCGTAATTAATAATTTTAACGCCGTAAGTTTACGCCCGTAAAATTTACTTCTCCACGGGCGTAGTTTATTCCTTCACAGGCGTAATTTTACGTCTGCACGGGCGTAATTTTACATCTGCACTAGCGTAATTAACGCCTACACACCCGTAAACAACACGTGCATACATTTGGCGGGTAAGCCAACCATAAATTAGTTGCAATTCCTTCACTCAACAGGTCAATGTATTTCCTAGGGTTGTTGGTTCTGCTCGTAGAAGTGATACAGTTGATGATGATAAACTTAGTTTTACCTGGACACAGAGTAAACACACCAATCGTAGGTAAGTACACCAAAACATGAAAAATGATTCAAACCCCAATCAAACCCAATATTACTTATAAATCATTTAACAATCATTTTACAATGATTAAGTTATATGGAAAGTACGCGTATACTGAAAATGTCGCATGAAAATTTAACCCATTTTTAAACGTCATTTCAATTTAATACGACTGATATTTGGTGTGTCATTCTGCTTACTTTATTTCCAGTGTGGGTTTACTTGTATAATATGGCCATGACAACCGTCTCATTGTTTTTTACCCTCGTCACAATTAATTTGAGTGCAATCGGCTTTTGTGCAAGACCTGTACCAAACTTTATCAGAAAGGTAACATTAGTAATTAGTCATCATCCGATCACAGGGCTTCAAAATCCAGAATATATTCTTTCTTTTTACCCCCTGCGATAAGCAGATACCATTTCCCCGATAAGAACTCGCAATCTGATTGACTGTCGCAACACTGCGACAGAAATCATGTATAAGTCATTGCGCATAATTAGATCACGTGATTCAGTTAATTCGGGCGCGTCCAAATTGGTTATAGCAGGGGAAGAAGGAGGTACGGATTCTGGATACCTGCTTAGGAGGATGGTAATTAGTGCACTATATCTAGTATGATATACAGTGGTAATATAGTGTCGGGTTATGAGGATTGATTTGGAGGAACTGGGTCTAAAATTAATTAGATAAGTATATATACACTGTATCTCTCAGTGGCGTAGCCAGGATTTGTCAGGGGGGGTTCTAATATTTTCTGCCAAATTTGCCAAATGTGCTTAAATTTTGCCAAATTTGCTTAAGTTTTGCCAAATTTGCTTAAATTTTGCCAAATTTGCTTAAATTTTGCCAAATTTGCTTAAATTTTGCCAAATTTGCTTAAATTTTGTCAAATTTGTTTCAATTTTACCAAATTTGCTTAAATCTTGCCAAATTTGCTTAAATTTTACCAAATTTGATGAAATTTTGCCAAATTTGATGAAATTTTGCCAAATTTGCTTAAATTTTGCCAAATTTGCTGAAATTCTGCCAAATTTGCTGTATGTTTGCCAATTTACCTCAATTTTGCCTTTGCTTAAATTTTGCAAAGTTTTCTTAATTTTGGTCTAATTTAATTAATTTTCGACAAGTTTCTAAAATTTTACTTAAATGCCAATAATGGATAAATTTTACCAAAGTTTCATTGTTGCCAAATTTTCATATTTTTTGCCCATTCGCTAAAATTTAAAATTTTACCAAATTTTCTCAAGTTTACCAAATCTCAAACAATTGCAAAAGCAAAAATAGGTAAAATATCCCAAGACCAAGTTCGTTTATTTGGGCAGATTTTTTTAAATTTGGACCCAACATACCACAAATTCACAGAAATTAGCAGACATAGAACCCCCTCCCCCAATTTTCAATCGCTTGTACAACGAGCTTTATAAATAAATAGGAGCCAAAAATCAGTAAACAACTCTGTGTGAGTGATCTTTATACTTGCTCTCTGATCTAACTACAGCATGAAAAATAAGAATGTTGTAAGTAAGAATTTTCTAGCGTTCACAATTTTGGTGCATCACGGCCCAGTGTCACTAAACATTCACATGTTCAAAATTCTCTGCTGATTTATATCAAAAATTAGACCATTTTGACGTTATGTACAACAATCAGATAATTTCAACTTGGTATGTATGCTTTATTTGTGCATTTGAATTCATTTTGAAGATATTACTTCAGTATTTCAGGCCTAAAGTGCAAAGAGCATACCTATTATCGCCCATTATTGATTAGAAGTTTTTTGTTTTTCTGTTTTTTTTAAAATCTTTTTTACTCAAAATGAAGCTATAAATCTCACACATTTCCATCTTCACATATAACTCAATTGTCTCTGGGTAATCAAAAACGATAAATTATTGAAAGACTGCAAAAATTTTACTCAAAGTTTGGAGGTTTGCATAATTGCCAGAAAGGGTGGATTCGAATTTTTTTAGGCAAGATTTGGGGGGGGGGTTCGCACGAGCCCTACGAACCCCCTCTCCCTACGGCCTTGTCTCTAATAAGTGAAAGATAAAATTGGTATCCCAACTATAAACATACATTGACTTGTTATATTTCAGTTTCTGCTCGACAATGCGATTGGACGCCTGTGTGGTGTATCAGAAAAATCAGTAAATTGTGGTGGTTTTGATAACCCCTTATATATGAGTAGTATAGTTCGCACTTTTGAGACACATGGAGCTGGAGCATTGTGGAGCACAATTGTGGAGCATTGTGGAGCACTGAAGCATATGGAGCTGGAGCATTGTGGAGCACAACCTGATTGGACAGATATAGTGGAGCACAACCTGATTGGTCAGATGAAGCAGATGACCTGTAACGTTACATTCAACCATCTTGAATTTTGGTTTCAACGTTACTAAGACAACAGTCAGTCATCTTGTAACCTGATTGGTCAGATGAAATGTGATGTTAATAATGACAAGATGGCCGACTTACCTGTCCAGGCAAAATTCAAGATGGCTGATTGTTGTGTTGCTAGCTTTGAAAGCAGGTGTACTGTTCAAATAATTTGAAACCTATTGAAACCAGTGGGTATTGACTGGGTAAATACAGATGTAAACAACTAATGGACTGTTCAAATAGATTTGAAACCAATTGAAACCAGTAGGCTTTGTCTTGGAAACTTTGAAACCAAAAAAGTTGAAACCAATTGATGTACTGTCCAAATAATTTGAAACCTATCTAAACCATTAGGTATTGTCTACTTAACTTTGAAACAAAAATTGAAACCTTTCTACTCTTTAATCTTATGCAATAAAATTCAGTAATTCATTAATTATTGAAATAAACAATAGCACACTGTTACCTTAAACAATTGCATTAGGGTAAACGTTATACCAGTTTTATTCAACCATCATGGGTGATAATAGAATGTCTTGTGATTTGACAAAAACAATGTTACTCATTGAGATGATTCTGTTTAAGACATTTTTTGAAACCTGAAATCAATAACAGCTGATATAAATATCTAAGCATTTTGTTACAACTTCATTATGAGAATATGATCTGAATAAAACAAATCATGTCATTATACAACACTTCAATGAATACAAGCATACTTCTAGAAAACGAAGTTAAGTTTGATATGATCATCGATCTAAAAGAACTAATTTTAGTAACATCAGCATTAATTGGATGCGGAGTAGTGGGATTATGTATTAAATGTTGTACATGGCAGTCAAGCTATTTTAAGACATCAAATGAAGAGAAAAATCCAACTTCATTATTATAGAATCATGAGAAATAGAAACAATTCTCAACAATTCTTTTTTCCTTATTCAGCCATTACTTTTAAAGTGAGATCAAGACAATCTACGTTATTATTAACATTGGTTAACTACTAACTCTAGAGGTATTTTACAACTACAAAACAAAGAACAATCAATATCTGACCACTAGATCTGAAAACAAATACCAGTTCATGGTTATAGAGAAACAAAATGGAGGATAACATGTACTTGTTTCTAAGTAGCAGAGATTCTACCGATATTTATCCTTTAAACAAACCGGAGGATTTCACAGTAAAACTTCCAAGTTATTTAAATTGTCAGGGAACTTGGCATGTAGGATTAATGGATATACAACTTCCCACTATACTTAACCTCAATAACCTGGAATATCTAAATATTTACTGCGATCTTCCTACTGAAAATATTACTGAAGAATCTAAGCAGCCTATTTTAAGAAGAATTCCTACTGATGAAAATTATCTAATGTTTAATCCTATCATATATATTAAACTATCATTACAAGAATTTGATCGAATTCGGATATATATAAAAGGAGATAAAGGAGAACCAGTTTCATTCCAACAAAAAACGTTAAGCTGTACACTTCATTTGAAGAAATTATATTGAACAATGAAGGTAATACCATACGTGGATGATGCTGCTAAATGGCATAAACTGATCAAAGCTAGTAGAGAGGGGAAGGTTACCGCACAAGTAGGACATGGTAGAAATAGAGCCAAATGGATATCGGTGAATGCTATTCAACCAGAACCAGTTAAAATTACATCACCTATGCAAGCAGTGGTAGAAAGAGCCGAAGCCCAAATAGAAAGAGAAAAGGAAGAGTCACGTGATGCTGTATCTAGTTATAAACGAAAACTTACAAGGACTCCAGCATTAAACAATCAGAAACCGAAGAAGAAGAAGAAGCCTCCTAAGAGTTCGCCTGTTAAGAAACAGTATAAACTATGGCCTACAAAATAAAAGATAGCACTGATGTGATGACTTCAAACTTACAACTATTTGAAACACCACCTACCCAGAGTAGTATTCACACGCTTAATTACATAGATATTAGACCAGTCAACCCGCTAGATGATGGAAGTCCGATCGAGTTTGTCATTCCAAACAATTCCAGTCAATATGTGGACCTGAAGAGAACACAACTCCATGTGAAAGCTAAACTAACAAAAGGAGATGGATCAAACCTAGATTCTGTGCCAATAAGTAATGTAGCCCCTGTTACTGGTTGGATGCATGCTCTATTTGAACAAGTTGAAGTTCACCTGCAGCAACAAGTGATTACTTCATCAACTTTGCATTATCCATACAAGGCTCATATTAAACGTTTGTTGCATGCTACACCCGATGCTCATAATTCTCGTTTGCAAAGCGAATTTTTCTATCTAGATAAACCCACTATTGGGAATGTTCCTTATATGGACGACGCAGATGCCGTCTCTGGGAATAACTTTGGACTGATTGATAGACTAGAAAAAACATATGGTTCTCGAACTGTCGATCTCCAAGGTTATTTAGCCGAGGACCTTTTTGATATGGATAAATTAATCATCAATGGAGTGGAAATTAAAATCAAACTTTCTCGATCCCGCGACAGTTTTCACTTGATGTCCAACGATGAAAATGCAGACTATAGAGTGAAGCTCATGGAAGTATACCTTCGTGTACCAATGGTTTCTGTTGCACCAGGAATTCTCCAGGCATACAATACAGAGTTGCAAGAACGTAATGCTATTTATCCATTCGAAAACAATCAAATGAAAGTGTATACCATCCCAGCGAATCAGATGTCATTTAGTACTTACGATACATTTCAAGGTTTAGTTCCTTCCCGCATGCTGTGTTTCCTCGTGAAAGCAAGTGCCTGCAGTGGATCCTATAAACTCAATCCTTTTAATTATATTCACAGCCGCATCAACTTCTTTGAAGTTTCCGTAGATGGAACAAGTGTACCGGAGCATGCTCTGAGACCTGTATTTGGTGAAGATAGCACATCAAACAATCTCTATACTAGAGAATACCAGCGATTATTTTCTGATATGGAGGCCGATGAAGGGCTTATCATCAATAAGAAAAGCTTTGGGGACGGGTACTCCATATTCAAATTTGACATTCAAGCTCAAGATAAAACAAGCAAGCAATTTTCTTTTCCAATCATTAAACGAGGAAACGTGAAGGTGAATGTACAGTTTGCTAAGGCTCTTGATGAACCTGTGAATTTGATGATAATGGCTACATTTCCACAAAAGTTTGAAGTAGATGTTTCTCGGAATATCATCTTGGAATAAAATATGAATTCTGAACAGATACGATGTATCTTATCCAACCATCCAGATAGCAGAGATACATTCTTAGGAGTGTTTGCTAAAGACGAGATGCCGCACATACTTCCGAAAGGACATACATTTGTACTAAATACTAAAGAAAGTTGGCATCAGGGACAGCATTGGACTTGTTATTTGGGTGGAAAAGATTGCGTGGACTTTTTCGACCCTTTAGGCAAAGCACCTACATATTACAATTTTCAAACTTACAATGCCGATACGCGATATAATTCAGAGGCAATTCAGCAGAGTGATAGTTCATCTTGCGGTCAATTTTGTATTTTATATATTTTACTCAGAAATTATGGGTCTACACTACAACAAATTGTTCAATCGTTTTCTTATGCTTCAGAAAAACACCTTATAGATATTGTACATAGTTTGAGTCTCATATACCATTGTAATTAGCTATTAGTTAACTTTTTAACTTATTATCATACTAGATATATGTATGTGTTGAAATGCATTCATTTACTTAGTTGAATTAAAAATGTACAATGTTGAAAGTTGTTTCGTTACATTGCTGATGTTCAAAGCAGAATAAAAGAGTGTACAATCAATAAATGAGGTTTTGTAATTTTATATAAATTTCACCATTTCTCCAATTCTTATTCGCCAACATGACACTGAGCAAGACACAGGCATCTAGACTAAAGAGAATTTATTTCAACCCCAAACACCCAGGTTCTTTCACCGGTTTCAATCAGTTATGGCGAGAAGTAAAGGATATAGGAATAACGCAAAAAGAACTAAAAGATTGGCTGAGTAGGTACGAAACCTATAGTTTGTATAGAAACGTTAAAAAGAAAAGTTTAAAAGGAGACCTTTAATTGTCAGACATAGGCTAGAACAAGCTGATGCTGACTTAGCAATCATGGATAAATTGGCTTCAGAAAATGATGGTTTTAAATATCTACTTATTATGATAGATACTCTGAGTAAATATTTATGGGTTCAACCATTGAAAACGAAGAAAGGTGAGGAGACCGTAGAAGCTTTCAAAAGAATGTTTGAGATAGAAAAACCAGCCCGTCTAAGAACGGACAATGGGAAAGAGTTTGTCAACAGAAACGTAAAGTCTTACATGAAGGAAGTTAATATTTGGCATTTTACCACCAAAGGAGATGTCAAGGCTCACCTAGCTGAACGTGTGATTAGAACATTGAAAAATCGTTTATACCGCTTCATGTATCATAAGAGTTCTCGCAGATATATTGATGCCTTACAAGATATAGTTGATTCCTACAACCATTCGTATCACAGAAGTATAAAGATGGCACCAGCCGATGTGGATGAAAGCAATGAACTACGAGTATTTGAAACCCTATTCATTCGACCAAAGCCAGATGAAATTGTTACTTATAAGTTTGAGGTGGGTGATTTAGTTCGCTTGGCATTTACTAGAGGAGTATTCAACAGAGGATACGATCAAAAATGGTCCACAGAATACTTTGTAATCAAAGAGAGGAAGCCTACCACTCCACCAACATATTTAATAGAAGATACTGAAGGAGAACGTATAGATGGTCTTATGTACGAGGATGAGATGCAAAAGATCTCAGAGGCTCCTAGTTTACACAGGATCGAACGTATATTGAAGACTAGAAAGAGGGGTAAAAGGCGAGAATCACTCATACGATGGGAAGGGTGGGGACCTAAATTCGATACATGGATAGACTCTAAACTAATACAAGATATATAAAAGGATTAAACTTGAAGAAGGTTTTAGTAATCGTCATGGCTTGGTACGAGAAGGAGAGTCTACTGCCATTTAAAGCATGTTCC